CATTTTGCTCAAGTGCGAGGCATGGATAAGAGATCAAAATTTTGAAAAGTTAATCATTTACCAATGAAAAATCGAGAAATCATTTTAACTACTTGGTATGGTGACAATGAAAAAATATCCACCTGCTCGATCATCAAGTTGAGCCAGTTTGGCATCTCTTTCAAGCACTTTTTCCATATTGACTCGCATAATATCAACGACTTCATTAACCTGTGCCTGCGTTTGCTGAAACCTCTTATTCGTTGGAGGAGGTCGAGTTGGTTCGGTTGGTTGTCCCTGTTCTGTATTAGATTCCCTGAAAGGTAGAAAAGGTAAACTAGATAACAAATAAGCTGAAATGTGTGCTCAGAGCAGTAAATTGCTGCAGGAATAATAAGATTTAATTAGAATAAATAAATAATAGCTAGAGACTTACATAACTCAACAAAGAGCTCGACTCGACAGCCACCAAGATGATACAGCCTACTTGTAAGGGTTAACCTCTCGCCATAAGACAAATGGTAGACAATTCAAACACGTGCATAAAAAGCATCCTTACTTAAAAAATTAAACTGACCACGTTCATTTTATCATAAAAACCGCAGCTGCGAATAAAATTTGCTTGAAACTTATTGCATAAAGCATCAAAAGCTCTTGGCTTAATCGCACATCGATATATTATCTAGCTGCTTTTAAAACCTTTTTTGAAGGTAAATACACACTATCCAAAGCAGATAACTTTATTTGGCAGTTGTTTCACAAATTCAAGTGCTTTAATACTTAGTTTACTGGTAGTTACTAGGATGTACCACCTGTTCACTCTATTAGGCCCTGGGCACCTTGGCCGCATCGCATCCCGGCAGCATATGTACAGCCTTGTTTGTGTGACCATTCCTATTACTGAAGATCCCGTCGACATCCATATTTCTATAGGCTGTGGTTGTAGCGTCCGAGGCTTCTCATAGGATGGAAAAGGGCATAAGTGAGTTCGAATACATGTATTCCAAAGACGACAGAGCTAATGTGTTCTGAGCGTGGCCCGTAGGCCAGCTTACATGTACAGAGACCAGACAAGCCATAATTCTCTTATTAATCTCGGATTTCCTTACTAAAAAATAGAAGTCCTTTGCGGTTTTGTCTGCTGGTTGGACTATAAACTTCTTGTCGTAAAGAGAGAAGTTTTGACGTTTCTGCCAAGTGAACCCGATTTTGAGGTATCTGCATGTATTGAACCAGTGCATCATCCGATCGAACCGTTGCCCGTCGGCTTGTTCGTACTGTTTTTTTGCGGAAATCAATCGATTAGTTGGCAAAGTTTAACAACGCAACCGTAGGAAGTCAGTAAGACAGCGGAGTCTGTAAGGCAATAGATCTCCTCGCACACTACTACCTTACACCTAAAAGTCGTTAAAAAAATGTTGGGTTTGTTTTTCGCTGCCACCAGTGTAGCTTCCCGAGGCTTCCCATAGGGTAGTATAGGGCATAAGTGATGATGAATACATTTATTCGGAAGACGACAGAGCAAATTGGGCCTGAGCATGGCCCGAAGGCCAGCCCACGTGCACAGAGGCCAGACAAGTTCTAAGGTTACTGCCAAACGTCAGGCAGTCACATAAACAAAGCATTACAGTGTTGGCTGCCCTTTGTGTTAATCCATTCCTAACTTTACACGCTTATCTTTGAATGCATGTGCTTGACCATGCTTAGCGCTCTCTTCGACTTATAGGAAAGCCATGAGGCAAAGCATTAATAGCAATGGCAAGCCCAAATTTGTTACTACTATACATGTCCTCACCACTTGTGATAAACTTCTCAAACGTAAATAAAATGCATGTATATTGGGCGGGAGCATCGCCTCCCTCTTTGAACCCTAGGGGCTGGGGATGGCATCTGCGATCGACATGCACCCCATTTCCGGGCTCCAAGAACAAGCTATTGAAAACTGAAATAGCATTGCAGCGTCCCGAGATTTCCATAAAGGAAAAGAAGGCAGCAAATGGACCTGAGTATGGCCCGAAGGTCAATCCACGAGAACGAGGGCCAGATAAATCCTGAAGTGATTGCCGAACGTCGGGCAGCCACACAAACAAAGCATTACAGACACTACCTTAAATCATCTGGGAATATGTCCGTTCATTTCTCCCAGTATCAAATACGTGTACAAATGACAGCAGCAGCTGTTTTAGATCGTTGTTACGTCCAACCTCGCGTACAGTTGACAGACAGTAGAATTCCCAAAGCCCAACTCCTGCTTTTAGGATGAAAGTTACCCCAGTTCCAAATGAGTCTTCTGAAAGGACCAAGTATATCTCCTTTATTTCATCTGAGCTGAAACATGGCGCGACTGGCTGACGAGTACTCCCTTTTAGCATTGAATAGATTTCAATGACTAGTGTTAGACGTTGCTTGAAGGAAAGAACAAAATAATGCATTCTCCGTACGACTGCCCACTCCCCTCAGAATGAAAGCCTTCAACCTTCTTCCATCTAATGTAAAATTCCAAGGCGTTATATCGCACCCATAGAACACCCAGATTAATATTTAACATCACAGTGACCAAAAATGTCAAAAGCGCGTCAATTAATGTCAGG